GAGGTTCAGGATTCCAAAGCCTTGGCGCTTCGTTGACGAGAGTCCAACAGTGTCTTGATACTTTATGGCCTCATCAATAAATCAATGTTCCAATTTCCGACTTTAAGCTCCAAATATCGGAGGGGTCGTTCTTGTGGATCCTTTTCTGATATGCTGTAATGGCATCGCGATGTCTGCCTCCTTTCATAGTGGATAGCGACTCCGTTGCTGGCTGGTATCTTCGTCGTCGTTCCGTTGATCTTCGTCAGCCGTCGTTATGCTGCTACGTCCCCGGCTGTCAGAGGCCGATGAGCAGGTTCTGATCGCTGACTTTTCGCAGTCTGCCTCAGTCCTCCAACAGCCTGCGCGGCGCTTTGTTACGCGGGCCTAGCCGGTATAATTTTTCTTGTCACTGCCATGAATGGTGGGTAGTTAGATTTTACGGAGACTTTGCTACGTCTCCAGCCCTCCTCCTCTTTCGTCCAGACTTGGGACCGGCTAGGGCAAAGTTTATTTCACAAAATTTAAATTTGTGAAAATAATTTTGTTTATCATTTTCATTTTTGATACCCGATAATTTAGTTTAAAGTCAACTATTCGTTTAAGAACAACGAGGTGATGTATGAAGCAACTTTATTTACATAGGAAAATTTTATATGCATTGTATAACATCATTGCGCCATTTCGTAGTTCTGTGCTAAGCCACGAAGTTAAGTAATAATATCTCCATTATGATAGTCATTCACAACTGATATAATTATTACGTCCGCGTCCGATATTTCTTCAACTCTACTGGATACGGAATATTATCCAGTTCTTGCAGGTATTAGAATGGAGTCATAAAAAAACGCGATATATTATAAATTCGTTAGTTTGACAGATGTTTCACGTTCCTCACAGAGGGCTTCTCGTGGATATATAATATGGTTATTACAGTTGATCGAGATGACCACAGTCCAGTCATATAGAATCAAACGCGCGCCACTAGACTACACGTCGATAATGACTGTCGATCGGCTTCTAAACGGCTTTCGCCGAATCATCCCATTCCAACAGCGTTATAATTAACTTGAAGCGGTTACTGAAGTTTCAAGATTCGGTTAATCAATATCCTAGCACTAACATCAAGAAGTCGGTAATTTTCGAAACAGTCAGATGTCTGTGACGCAGACTGAAAACATCAAACGATTCCTTGGGACCATTGACAAACTTGGCAACATCAGTCTTACGGGTCAGCGCGAAACTGACTCCGTGTAAAACAGAGTTTGCTACTAAAGATAAACTCAGTTTGCTCAGAAGCGTCAATATCATGAATATTTTGAAGTAGATACCATATGTATTTTTCTTTCGTTCGTGACATTCCGAAACATTCTTTAAATTTACTAATTTTACTTTTTGTTGACCTAAGGTCACTTGTCAGATGACGAGTATGACAAGTCTTAGTGCCTTTGCATAGAGTGCTCGTCGAACCTCGTTTCGCAGGCACTGGCACCAAAATAATACCCTGTCTCGTTTGGTGGTAGGCATGCCATCGACTTGCTAGCCGCTTCTGCTGAAGTACCATTAAGTGAATTTCGTGCTCAAGAAAATAGTCACGCGATTCAGGTCGCGCCTTTGAGTTGACATCGCTGCTACGTACGGCCGATGAAATATCATTGTGTCACTGCCAAAGGAATGATTCTGTAAATTTTTTTTCGTATTTCATGCTTGTCAGTCGCTGTGAAGTTCAAATCAGTGTACGTCACATGTAGACGTGTTGCTACACATGGAGAGCTGAGAGAAATTTTAACAACAGGATAGAGAAGAATGAACAGCCAGCATATAATTGTTCGATCATGGAATAGAGATCTGCTTTTTTCGCCAGCGCCAGATGTCTGCAAGACGGGGATGATTAACCATCACTCAGTGAAGCACGTGAACATGTGTGAACAATCGCGATCTACTTTCTATACCACAAAATGGTAGTTTAATCTACAGTGGTACGCAGATTAGGTGAAATATAACTGTCTAGTTTTTATGATCCATACGTTGTTCGTTTGGGGCCAGTGACTCATGTGCGTCTGAGGAAATGTGATTGCGTTGCGGGTGAACAGATTAGCACAGTTTTATGGCCTTGTTACAGAGATAGTAAAGATGGGAGTTCAAGTTCAGTCGTTTGGAGACCTTCAGTATTATTTGGTAGATAGAAAGGCAT